GTTAAAACCCTAACCATAAAATTGAAAAACTAGAGTTATAAAACCCTAATTTGCGAAAATTGAAAGGCCAAGGGTTTAGTTGCCATAAACCGTTATTTTTTCAAGTTCAACCAATTGCATCAAATACAATAGAAAAAAAAATCATAGTCTCTGATACCACTGATGGGGTTTCAGCAAAACATATAATCCTATGTGTGCATGCAACCCTAATTCAATTGGATCTAGGTTTTCTCTAATTAAACATGCAACTTGAACACAAAAGAGGATCCCTAGGTTCTATGTGTTATAAACAAATTCACACAATATGGATTAAAATACATACCTTGATTGTTATATTATAATAACAATCTAAAAACCTTGCTTGAAAGACCTTTAGTAGCAAGCGTCACAAGTTTCGTAACTCTAATGGCTCACAAAAAAACATAGCAACCAAGGATTACTATGGAGAGAGAGAGAGAGAAGGGAAGTGGAAAATTCGACTCTAAGCCTTTCTTGAAGTGCATGGGATGAAATCCAACCCTATAGGGTTTTATATAGGTGATAAGGAAGGTTTAGGATAAGGCAAGTGTATCTTAGATAACCCAAATCCCTTAACTTCCTCCCTAAGGCTTCCAAGGCACCCTTAGAGCTAAAGGAAAAATCTAGGAGCATCTAGATTTTGTTCCTCCCCTCTAAGGGAGGTTCTATAATTCTTAATGCTCAACAATTAAACATTTGCACCTTTAGTCCCTGCAGTTACAATTAATTCCTTTAATCACAAAATTAACTCCAAGTTAATTTCTGATTAAATGTTAATTAAACTATATGCTTACTAATTAATATATTATTCACATAATACATTAATCAAATCATTTATTTTGATTTCAAATTAACTTATCAACCAAGTAATAAATTAATAAATCATTCTTCTCTTTCTAACAGTCATCCTATTCCATTTCTAGGTTTGAAGGCAACCCAAAAGAGCATTGCTACTATCAATTCGAGTTTATACCAATTATACTTATGGGCTTAGACACCTAATCCAACAGTGGCGGCACTCCCACCCCTGTAAGGCATTTAGTTCCTTAAGGTTAATCCTTGAGCTGCATACGGATCCAGTGTTTCCAATATTACGGACCAATACTTCTTTCTACACCGACCCATCTTTGTGTCGATTCCTCCCCTCAAGACCCCAAGTACTCTACCTCCTCAAATCAGCTATGGACACGCCCTGTTGTTTCCTTACAACCATAAATAAGCGTCTAGACGCTGACTCTAGACTACTGCCAACATTGTTGCCTCACAAGATCTACGATGTCCTTGCTATTTTCTTAGTGTATGCCAATTGTACATAATAGGAGACTCAATAGACATTCGAATAAATGATCCTACCACAAACCAACAACCAAACAAGGAACATGAAGAAAGGATAAATAAGGCATTTTGAAGCTATAAAATCCTGACTATGTACAACTATGTAGCGTACACTAACAAATAGTAAAAACAGATTCAATCTCATACGAATGAACTCCTATACTAAGGCATCACAAATCAGGAAACATTATCACACTATCCTACAAAATTTCTTAGCATATCACTAACTAGCATGCAATTCTATCAGCTCATAATATAGATATATATTCTTTACACTACACATAATATGAATTGAGGTACTTTTGGAAACTACCGCTCGAGCGCTAGGTTATTGTACACATTGCTTCTCTAGGTTTTTCTCGTGTATAAGTCTTCATTTCTTTGTTAAGTTCTTAAAAAAATTCATATCCTTAGTTTCAGTTTGGAATCACCCGGAGGTTCATCCAAATTCCTCAAACTCGAGCTCTGATACCAAATTGTAACATGTCAAATATTAGAACTTTTTTTTCATTTTTAGTTTACCAAAATAATGTTTCACAAGCCAAGTTATCAAATATATAATTATTTAAAACAAACAGTAACATAAAAATATTAGAGTTCACATCCGTCTCAGTAGCAAATATCCCAACATGTTGTACAATCAGACGTTTGCCTTTCCGCGGTCCTCGGAAGTACCTTCCACATATAAATCAACAAATGTAAGCATGAAGCTTAGTGAATTCCCCAACATACGACATAAAACATAACATAAATAAACAACTATAGGTTATCAGCAACCCTGGGAACTATTAGCAGTCCCAGTGGGCTAACAGCATGCCCTCGGGTTATCTGCAACCCTAGAGACTATCAGCAATCTCAGTCACACATAAACAACATAACATAATCATAACAGCTAGACCCAACTAGTTATTAAAAGATATAGCTATTCTACCACACATCTGTGAGGAGACTCACATGATACTAACGACAAGTAAATCTCACACCTGACCTGTCGGAACTAGACTTTGCCTAAACAACGAAATAATTAACCCTACATAATAATTAAGGTCTAAAACTCAACTCGCGAGTCCAAATCTTACAACTAAGTCCTCTTAAAGGCAAATAGACTATTTTGCCCTTCTCATGGTCCAAAATCCTAAATCTTGACCTTTAGTCAAAAGTCAACGAAAGTCAACTTCCTAGCACGCACGTTGGGCGTATACTTCCTTACGTAGGGCGTATAATGCAATCAGAACCCATCGAGGGCGAAACCGGCTACGCACGGCGTAGCAAAAAGTACGCCTGCTCCCACTTTCACTAACTTGTGTGTTAATCCTTTATGACAACTAACCCAACCTCCGATCTGACCATTCTAAGAGTTCTTAATCCATAAAGTCGTTGACTTTAAGCCTTTGCGTGGCTAGGAAGGACCCAATGCGATAAACTTTAACTTTTAACACACTCTAAGCTACTTTACTCATGCTTGAGCGAAATGGATTGATCAAGCAACCATTTTTATGAATCTACAGGTCCTAAAATGAATGAAAGGACAACTACAATTCCCTGGAGTGCTCCAAACTCATAAAGGTCCAATTTTGGAGAAAAAGCTCATGAAACTTCAATCATAGAGATCAAATGGAAAATTCATCAAGGTATAAACTTTATACTTGAGAAAGATGCACAAAGAGGAAAGGTTTCTGGATCTTCAAGTTTGCAAGTAACCACTTCTTCTTCTCTGGACTCCTTCTTCAACAAAATGCACCAACAACACTCAATAAGCTCACAAAACTAACACAAGCAACTTAAACTTAGAATTAGGGTTTGAGGAGGGAATGGTGGCTGATAAAGATGATCAAATAGGGATATAATGTTGTTTAAATAGGGAGAAACCCATAAGATTACGGTTTGGAGTCTTGGCTAGTACGCCTGGCGTACCACATGTACACTAAACGTACTAGCGGATCATCCGCATTAAAAAATACATGAGTACGTTGCGCGTACCCTCAAGTACGCCCAACGTACGACCAAAGTGTAAGCCTTTTTCTCCTCAAGGGACCAATTGTGCACTTTCTCATTAAATAAAAAACAATAATAATAATAATACCTGATATTGGGATGTTATAAGCGGTCAACGAAAATTAGAAAGAAATAACCGGCGTGTAACGAAAATTAAAATATTTTAGTATGATATAATGGCATACAAAAATATGTGCAGCTAAAAATATAATGTATTGGCACAAAATAGATATTTTCACTAAAAACGTGTGCCACTAAATGTAATTTTGTTTATAGTGAGATATATGGTAGGTACTCGCAAACTCCTACAGGACACTAGAAGAGGGAATCACCATCAAGGGTGTCCAAATCCTCCCACCGTCAACTTAATAAAGTCATACAATCCTCAAGCATTTTGCTGTTTTTGTGACTTTCTCTAACATTTTACTAAAAAAATGTCGTTGTTTGTCTCGATTTCTCAAAGACAATAATATTTCTCCTCAAGCGCACTTCACTACCTTGAACTCAAACAAATTCACTCGATGGAAATTCGATACATGAGCCTCTCGCGATGTTACTGGCCAAACACATCCCCTACAATCTTTCTTTGATTATCGTGGTCGTGAAGAAATTAATTCTAGTGATGGTTCAGGTTTAAAAATCATGCATACTGGTCATACAATCTTGAATTAACCCTCTCATTCTTTTCATGTGAACAATATTCTTTGCGTTCCTTCCTTAAACAAGAATTTAATTTTTGTGGCAAAATTTAGTAAGATTAACAATGTTTCCATGGAATTTTTTCCTTGGCATTTTTTGGTGAAGGAACTTCGCATGGGGGCGCAACTATTTCGAGGAGAAAACAAGAATGATCTCTACTGCTTCATGGCTTCAAGAAATCCTCAAATCAATGTTAAAGTGACGGATATCATCCTTCTAAATCCGTCGCTAGCTACTTCCTAATATTCTAGTAGCGAATAGCTATCAGCACAACATTTATTTCCTATTGCCATTTACCAAAACCGCTATCTCAATTTCACTTTCCATTTGTACTGTACTGTCAATATATGTATGAGCCTTTAATATATGTTGAATATCCGATAGCAAATATGTTTCTATTAACTCGTTCATTTCATTTGACACTTGGTGTGCACAACAAATTTGCAAATAGAAAACCATAACGGTTACATGTAAATTTCAAAAATCGAAACGACACTACCATAACAAACTTAATAATGTACAAGTCCTAGAAATTGTATAAGAGGGAAAGGGAAAAAAGAACGAGGACATAAAAACTACATGTACAACCCACTAATATAATTCCGACTTAGCCAAGTCGCCCTGATGACTATGAATTGCGCACAACCAGTAAATCGACAGGAAGAAGCGATCAAGTCGTGGTATTGTCTCTGGAGATGAAACAGAAGGTCCATCAAGTCACATTATAAGTTAGTCTCATCTTTATTCTCACTAATGTCACAAGGATCTGCAGTTTCTCTTTTCTCCATGACTATGTCCAATTGGTCATGGAGTTCATTAGGAGAGACAGACAAGGAAAGTTAGCGTTTTTCTTGTAAGGAAGTGATCGTCTTACTTTTGGTGTATCTTATTCTCTTTATTCACCAAAAAGGTAAAAAAAAAAAATCATGATCCACTTTGGTGATGTTGAGAGCTTATGTTGGTGTATCGAGGGAACATTCTGGTGGAAGGCCATGCGGGAAGCGATTAAAGTCATTGCAGTAATTGTAAATCATGTAATTACGTTGGACCCATTTCAGCATCTCAAGGCTCCTCAAATCTAGTTGCTTTTGTTTATACCAATCATGTTTAATAGCTTTTGAACAAGACTCCCCGTTCTCCCAAAGACAACCCCTGGCCTTATAATCCCGAAACCAGGTTCTGAATGGAGCTTCTGTCCAGTTCGTTTTTATTGCCCCACCTCTCGTGGCCCATTGATCCGCATTCCAAAGGCTCGCATATATCCTCATAGGAAGCTCTTTCATGTATGGAACCCCTCTCGATTCCCAGTTTTTGAACACTCTAATAGGCGTCCCATCCACGTAAATTCTGAACAAAAACCAAAAAAGACGTAAATGATTGTCAAATTATTCAATGAAATGCTAAATTTAGAGAAATGATCTATATTTAAGCTCTTTCTAGTAAGTTTCCAAATACAGATACATACTTACACAATCATAAATGGGTTCCAAATAATCGTATAGGTGTGGAAACTGGTGGTCGGATCAAACCAAAGGTGAATTTGTTGCTCTCTAGAGCCGCTCCCTTTGATATACATGTTTGTATGAAGAGTGTAAGGATTTCCAGAAAGATTTCCCAAGAACTCGATATCTATCTCGTTACGATTATCACCTTCTGATGCTAACTAAACAGCAAAAAATCAAAGAATCTTTTACACAATTTAAATGAAAATTCAATTTGAAAGGAAATAAGAAAGAAAATGAAATAGAAACCTACATAGAACGTGGTAACAGTTCCAGCAGAGTTTCCTTGAATAAGTTTGATTTGCATGTCGATTTTGGAGAAAAGATATTCCCTGTAAGATTGGATCCCAGAGCCAGAATATTCATCAAGAGACAGCATTAAAAGTTTCCCGTTATCATGAATGCTTCCACGGCCATTGCCCCACCATATATTGAAATCTCTATAGAAGTTGGTCGCTATGACAAATTTGGTACAACTCAATATTATAAGAGATATCAAATACAAGACAACAGTGGTATATGGTGAAGTAGACATTGAGATGCGTTTTGTGACGCGACAATTAGAAGACGATCTAATATTGAGCCATTTATATAGCACTGTAGAGAGCTAAAATTTTGTCATTTAGTTGGTTGATATAAAGAAATTGAAAACTTCAGCCTTAATTTTCTGATAGTTGTCACTTAGACCTTACTAATTATACTTTATGTACTAGAATTTGTACGTAGATACAACATTAAAATTGGCACCGAAAACCAATGTCACCTCCAACTTGCATACTTGAGATAAAAGTTAGCAACTTGAAAATGACCTCAATGAAGAAAATAAACGACAATACGATTATATATATATATATATATATACCCTTAAAGGTATATAAGCTTAGGTACCCAAACTCACCATACTACATCGTTTTGTATCATATACATGCATTGTAATTGTCTAATGTTCTTATAATTGAACTTCTAACTTGATTTCATTCAAAGATTTTTATAAATTTCACATTTATTTTCCTCTTACATAATTTTCATTTTCAACTATAATATATATAGTCTAATTGATGTTCGTTAAAAAGATATGATATAAGAGGAGGATAATAATGAAAATTTGAAAATCTTGAAAGTAAATCAAGTTAAAGATTGAAGTTGAATAACATTATAATAAATATATCAAACAAAACGACATATTATAGTGAGTTTAACTACCTAAGCTTATATACCCTTAAGGGTATATTCATTTTTCCCTATATATAACTAAAATGACAGTTTTCCTAAGCTTATATACCCTTAAGGGTATATTCACTTTTCCCTATATATATATATATAGCGAAAATGACAGTTTAAGGATATAAATTAACTTGTAAAAAACAAAACCAGTGAACAAATAAGATTATTCGGCTGTAATGACATTATTTTTATTTAAAACTATGTCAAAGAGTATTTAAACGGTTTGTATAAAAAAATCTTATTATTTGTGCCACAAAAGATAGGGGCATTATTTCAATTTAAAACTATGTCAAGATTATTGAAAAATGACATGAAAGTTTTAACATTTCTTTAATTTGGCCATTAAAGTTTTTTTTGGTACATTAGGCCACTAAACTCCATTTTTACCTTTTAATTATACCATTATCCAAAAAATTAGACGGTTTACCGGTTCCAATGCTTATATGGCAATGTGATGTGTCCAATAAGCTTACATGGGATACTGTTGTGTCGAAGAAGGTAACTCGTCCAACAACCATTATTAATTGAAACCCTGAATCGGACAATTATTCAAATGTTACTTACCCTTTTGTGAAAAGTCAAATCCTCTCCACCGACTATTGCCATCCTCAAGAACAATGTCTTCCAGCTCGTTCACTTCAAGGAATTAGCTACAATTGACTTGTGTTCAAGTGCGAGAAGGGGTAAACCTTTGCGATTGCAACGTTCTATCTATAGAACGAACGTGTTGGAAGATAACAAAAACTGGGAGGCGTTTCTGGAATTCTCAAAACAGTTTGGTAGGTCCCAATAATCCTGATCATGCTACCTTCGTATTTTAGGGTTTGACTGTGGTGTATCTTCGTGTAAAGCCAATCATGCTTGATTTATATTTCGAAAAAAAAACCCTATTTTTATTTTTCTTCTTGAGGAATGTTTGTGATCGTGAATCAAACCCATTTCTTTAGTAGATTAAAGGAAACTGATTTCCTTAATCTTTATTTTCTATCTAAATCAAAGCATTTTCATTTTTAATGGATTGGGTATTTACAGACTAGGTTCAAGAAGGGTAGTACAAAAACCTTCTATATTCTCTGAAGCAGAAATTGGATGCTAAAGAGGATCTGTCTGAGATGAACAATTCGAGGACAAGCATTGCTGAAGTGGACTTCCTACTATCACAGGAGAAGTGTAAGGTGGCAAAGAGTGAGAAAGATGTTTCTAATTCAAGGAAGGCAATAGGCAGGTACAATATGATAGTTGCATTGTTTTTTGCTGGCTTGGTCTTTTGTGTTTTGAAGTTAGGGAATGATTATAGTTAGTTAAGGGGTTGGTGTAAGCTTTTGTATGCTTTTGTAAAGGTAGCTTAGAAAACTCAGTAATGATTGACATTTTCTATGTTTGGAAGTTGCTTTTAGTTAGAATTTAATGGTGTCAACCTTGGTGTGTTGATGTTGTAAGCTGGTATAAAAGGTCATTTTATAACTATTGTAAAGCCAGATTGAAAATCCCAATTGTAGGGATTTTGTATAATCATATGTTGAAATGTTTCTGTTATTGAAACAAGCATGGCTTGTTTTCCTTTTATTATATATTATTAAATTGGTTGTAGTGCATGGTATTATATTGGGAATAAAGTAAAAAGTGATCCTTGTGAAAGTACACTATATATGGGGACCATTTTCCGTTAATAGTCAGTGGATGTTTTTATAATTGAAAAAATAGGACATTTCAAACCATTATAGAGCCATATTTGCGACCATATAACACATTCACATGCATACACATTATTCCAGATTTTCCATGCAGAAATATACAAATCCATATGTGATGTGTAACACTTGAATTTGGTAAGTTTCGCATTTAACCATTGTTAATCAAAAAGTTTGTAATTTAGTCCTTAAGCTAGTACATGAGGTGTACTAGGTGGTATGTGGAGTACGAATGATGTATGTGGGCTTTAATGAAACTCTAATATTTTAGCGTTTACACCCTATTTAAACCTTATGATAGCCTCATTTGGTCACGTTTAGCTAGCCTCCACCTTCCTTTGTCTAGAAATCGAAACCCTAGTGTGTTTTTTGTCTGTTTTGAGCCTTAAAGAGTGTTTGTTGGTGGTTTGTTAAGGAGGAAAAGAAGTGGACCTTTTGGAGTTGTGTATTGAGCTTGAAGATTCGGCTATAGCTAATCATTTGCAAGCTTTTAAGGTAAAAAGATCACATCTTGCTAATCCATAATGCTAGATCTAGTTATGTTGTTATTTTATGCTTTTTGAGTCCTTGGATTGATTGATAGGCTTCTTGACTCCAGAAGTTTTAGTGTTAGATCTAGACTTCTTTTGGTCCCCTTATACATAAAAATGCAATCTTTATGGTGTATCTTGAACCATGCATGTGTTAAGACCTTTGTTAAGCTCTTTTTGAGCTATTGAGCCCCATTAAGCCATGTATGTGTGTAAAGTTGCCAACTTTAGGTGATTAGTGGTCTTATAGAATCAGATCTGAGAGTTTGGCTTCAAGTCTCAATGCATTAAGTTCTTAATGAAGTGGGGTAGTCAATTGAGGAGTATGTTGGGCATACCAAGCTGGTACGCTATGCGTACTAGCCCCATAATATGTACGCTAAGTATATGAGCTGAGTACGCCCCGTGTACTCAGTAGTTGGGCTTCAGATTTTCGGCTTCTCAATTTTGCACTCATGTTTGTGTTGGATTAGGTGTTTAAGCTCATAACTATATTTTGTATGTACTTAACCTGGTTGTAGCATGGTGCTTTTGGGTTGCCTTCACCAAAGCAACTTAACTGGAAGAATAATGGAGAAAGAGGTTATTGTGGTTTATTAATATATTATATGAATAATATATTAAAAGAGAAATCATATTATTTAATTAATATTGGTCAGGAATTAATTTAGAATTAATTTTATGGTCAAAATATATTAATTAAACTTGGGGGACTGATATTGTAATTATAATATAGTTGCAATATGGGTTGTGGATCCCTTAATAAAGGGATGGACAATTTTATATGGGAGCCCATATAGAAATCGTCCAAGCTATGGATTCTAGAAGAATCTTGTAGGTTGCTTAGAGTTTAAGCAACCGGATTAGGTCTTGACTGAAACCCTAACTCTGTAGCTATATAAGGGACCCTTGGGCACTAGAATTTGGCTACCAGAAAGCCTAGAAGGATTCCAAGAGCCAATTGTTTTGGTGTTTGTGATCTATAAGAGGCATCGCATTTGATGTGCTAGGTTCTCAAAAGCTCAAGGATCTTCAAGCTACAATTAAAAGGTAATTTCTTAACTTTGTTTTAGTTATGATTTTCGAGTTTTGTATGCTAGACATAGGGTTTATAAGCTTTGGATAATTATTCCATGTACAAATAGAAAAACTAGATCCATAGAATTATTGCTTTGCTCATAACCCAACAGTGGTATCAGAGCCTAGGATGATCTTCTATTGTATTTTATGCAAAAGTTAAATTTTTGAAGCTTGAAAATTCGTTTTTTTGATTCTTTCTGGACTCACGACGTGACACAGATCTTATCACGACATGAGTAAGCACTGTTGTTGAAACTCGGAATTTTTGCCCTAATTTGAATTGGATAATTACAATAAATTGTTTTTTTTAATTAAAATCTGATTTTTCTAATATGGTAATTGATATCGTAATCAAGTTAAAGGATAATTATCAAATTAAGATAATTACTTGTATTATATGATAAGATTAATTATTTGTAGTTTGATTTGAATTATCTAGTCAAGAAAAGGATTAAGTCAAATTATGTGATAAATATTTATAATATGATATTTGATTATTTTTCAAATTTGATCTGAAAGATATTTTGAAAAGTTCAAAACTTACTCTCAAGTTTTGGAATTTAAATTTTTAATTTTGAAGCATTTAAATTCTAAACCCTAGAATTTTAGAAGTTTACAATTCAACCCTTATACTTCAATAATATTACAAGAGTAACTAATATATATATATATATATATATATATATATATATATATATATATATATATATATATATATATATATATATATATATATATAAGACAAATCTAGTCTTACCGTTAGTAGGCCTCATTCACAAAGTCGATCTATACGGGGTATAAGGTTACTACCTATAAAATGGTGGTTTAATTGGTGTCCACTCTCACCCATCGCTTCCTTGATTGGTGGAGGGTCGTTAGTCGAATGGGTAGGATAGGGCAATTCATTCCTCATTAATTAGTATAATGAGTTTTATAAAGCAACTAAATGTTTTTACAAATTTCCCAATCTTAGTTACTTTAGGTAAAATGTGAAATGATGCTATTCCATG